TCCAGTTTCCCACCACTCGCCCTCCCTTTTGGTTCCGTCTCGGCCGGTGGGCCCACACGCAGTTCGATTGGTTATGGTACGCAAGCGGTGTTTGGCTCTGAGGTTCAGTGGGTTCAAAGCCATATGAGTGGTATGATCGGATACCGGAGTTTGGCATTATCTCAGAGTCGACATGTTGTATACGTTATGGAGTTCAGATTTCCCTTGATGAATCGGATGAGGTCAAATACAAAGGAGACCCTCGGCCGAGGGAGTTTAATTGGAAGCATGTTGCGACACGTCTGAACTGTGATCGACAGGAGATATGGCTTTGGTCATTTCGTGGTCTGTTGAAAAAAGGAATTGATTATCGAGATAATCGTGAGTGACGCTTGCTGTTGTTTCCTATTCTGCACAGGCTTCGCCTTGGCACGCCCTACCTGTTCAGGCTTTGCCTACTCGTCCCTAGCTTTTCCCTTCCCTGCCCCTGACCGCCGTGGGGGCGGTGTGGGGGTCGGGTGGGTGGGTCTCCAGAGGCTTTAGGAACTCAATGCGTTTTGTACATTATGATGAAGTGAGAGTCTTCGAGCGGGTATTAATGTATAGTGTTGGTCCAGCCATGCTCTTCAACAGCAAGCGTGCTTCCATAGCTTTTCGGGCCCACCCGATCCCGCCCTTTGGAGTTCAGGGGATTTTCCCTTGATGAATCGGATGAGGTCAAATACAAAGGAGACCCTCGGCCGAGGGAGTTTAATTGGAAGCATGTTGCGACACGTCTGAACTGTGATCGACAGGAGATATGGCTTTGGTCATTTCGTGGTCTGTTGAAAAAAGGAGTTGATTATCGAGATAATCGTGAGTGACGCTTGCTGTTGTTTCCTATTCTGCACAGGCTTCGCCTTGGCACGCCCTACCTGTACAGGCTTTGCCTACTCGTCCCTAGCTTTTCCCTTCCCTGCCCCTGACCGCCGTGGGGGCGGTGTGGGGGTCGGGTGGGTGGGTCTCCAGAGGCTTTAGGAACTCAATGCGTTTTGTACATTATGTATGTATATATCTATGTATGTATGTATGTATGCATGTATGTATGTATGTATGTATGCATGCATGCATGTATGTATGTATGTATGTGTGCGTATGTTTGGATGTAGGTACGCACGCATGTATACGGATCTATGTATGTACGTATGCATGTATGTATGTATACACACATATTATATATATATATATATATATATGTGTACATGCCTGTTTGTGTGTGTGTTTGTGTGTGCTCGTGTGTTTGTGTTTGTTTGTGTGTCCGTGTGTATGAGGATCACTTACTCTCCTCCTCCTCAGCCAGATGCGTCCTATTTGGACCCCCAAATCATTCGTTTGAGGGGGTATGGGGGGACGAGCTCACCCGAGGAGGGTCCCAGCCCCTACGATGGGTCCAGAATTACCCACGAGGGCCACCAGAGGCTGCCAGGGCAGTGCAGGAAACTTGCAAGAAAACCCAATCTGCCCAACGGGGCACGGACGGACTCTGATGGACCCACGCGCGCCCGATAGGACCGCTGGGCACAGCCCTTGGTGCTGCCGGGCCAGGGCTCTCGAGATGGACCCACGCGCGCCCGATTGGACCGCTGGGCACAGCCCTTGGTGCTGCCGGGCCAGGGCTCTCGAGTCCCGAGACGCAGGCCAGCCGACGCACCAGACCGCCCAGGGAGGGCGACAGGGAGGAGAAGGACCGACCGTCCCGGCATTTCTATGGGCCTGCCACGACATGTTCTTAGAACCCACATATGTTCCAAGAACAAACACAATGTTCTTAGAACATAAGCCCGGGGTGTTAAAACAAGACGGTCTCGGCCAGGAACGTTCTAAGAACATTTCGTGGAAGCCACGAGAGGTTCTCAGAACATTGTTTGGTGGGGCTAGGAGGCACGCCAGGACGCTTCGTCACTGCTGGAACAGGGGAGGGAGCAGGCGACGCCATCAGAGTCGCGTAGCGAGCGCCTGTTAAAACAGGGCTAGGATCGGGATAAATCGCTCCAGAGCGTTCCGGAGCGCTCTCAGAGCGTTCCGGAACGCTCTGGAGCGGCCGCGGCGCCCAGCACATCCTCCAAACCCGCCGATTCTCAGAGATTTCGAGCTATCCCGATCCGATGTTGTCCCGATCTTCGCGTCGTTTGAGGAACAGGGGAGGGAGCTGGCGGCGCCATCAGAGTCGCGCAGCGAGCGCCCGTGTCCTGCCGAACGCCCTCCAGCGGGCGCTCCCCCCGTGCTCGTGGACGCCGGCTCCGGCCTCTCTGGGATCCTTCACGGTCCTCTGGGTGCCCCCGCGCCCTCTTCCAGAAGAGGAAAAAACAGCATAAAACATACACGGCGTTCATTTCTAATCGTGCTCTCTTCTAATGGTGCTCGTTTCTGGTTGTTCCTGGCCCCCTAGTGGCCAGGAAGAGGCCCAGGATAGAACACTCAGAACTGAAAGGATCTTGCCCCCCAAACAATCCAAGAACTTTCGAATACTAAAAAATGAACAATGTGTACCCCAACGCCCTTTCTAGAAGAAGGAAAAACGGCATACACATAGATTGTTGGCGCTCCGCGCAGATTTCTTGGATCCAGAGAAGCCCCGAGAAAGGCTCCAGATAGCCGAACTCACGGAAGGTGGCTTCTTGTCTCAATGTGTTGTCATCAGTGTTTTACTTGCGGTGTCTTTCGGTCCGCAAGTGCTCCATGATGAAGGAACAACGCCCCAGGAGGTCCCACCGTCGGCTCAAGGGGGCTCCAAGACGCCCCCAAAAATTTCATTGCAACTCGTTCCGTCCTCCACCTCCTCTCTCGTGTCCGCATCCTCCTCCTCCTCCTCCTCCTCCTTCTTCTTCTCCTTGTCCTTATTCTCGTTTTCCTACTCCACCTTCTCCCCCTTGCCAACTCTTGATCCCTCTCTTATTTCGAAAATCAATGTCTGCTGGGAGCCAGCCACATTCCCAACGTGATCGAGGGGTCGGCGAATGTGGCCATGAATCTGGACTCGCAGCCGCAACTGCTACTCTGGAAGCTCCACATATCGGACACTCGTCGGCAAACGCAGGAGCGGTCGTTGGCAGTCTTCGCTAGCATACGATTTGATGGCGTATCGTCATCATCGTCTTTCTGCTCCTCGCCTCTGGTGGCGTGGCCTGCCTCTGACAAATCTGGGCAGTCCACTGAACTGTGAATTCCAGCTGTCGTGCACCCGCCACCCTCACCAATCTGGTGAAACCGTGGGTCGGCCAGAGTCTCCCCTCCTGGACACATCACTTCCCTGCCACCTTCCACGCTGACGAGAGATCGGCGACACAGCCATGCAACAATGTGCGTGATGGTGTGCTCGGTGATATCCTCGCCTGATCATTCGAAGCCGGATACAACCAAAGGAGAGCTATGCCTAGATGTGGGCCTGCACGGTTTCCTCCGGGGCCATAGGCGACCCGAGGAGGATGATGAGGAGGAGGAGGAGGTGGAGGAGGGGGAGGGGGAGGAGGAGATGGAGGAGGAGGAGGAGGAGGGAGGAAGAGGAGGAGGAGGCGGAGGAGGAGGAGGAGGAGGAGGAGATGGAGGAGGAGAGGTGGAGGAGGAGGAGGGGGAGGAGGAGATGGAGGAGGAAGAGGAGGGAGGAGGAGAAGGAGGAGGAGGATGAGATGGAGGAGGAAGAGGGAGGAGGAGGAGGAGGAGGAGGAACAGGAGGAACAGGAGGAGGAGGAGGAGGAGGAGGACGGGCCGCCTGAGCCCTTCGGAGGAACCCTCCATGTGGGCCTGTCCTCGCGGTGCATGCTAGGCGTCGCGCTCCCACGCTGGCCTCTTGTATCTCTGCCTGATGCTGTCTGATGACAGCCCACACCCGATCACATACCCACCAATGCGGGATGACGATTAATAAAACAACTGGGGGGAACGATTAAAAACGAGTTTCCCGCTATTTCTGCACAATTTTCTGACTGGAGGAGAACGATGAAAAAATAGTTTTCCAGCCCGCGGCCGGTTTTTTCGAATCGTCATCTCGGGCGCCACCGCGTGAACACGACCCCCGGTCATTTAGTAATCGTCATCCTCCATTACCCACTATGTGGGACATGTTACCATCGGGGAGACGTAAGACTCGAGTACGGGTGACTCGGGTTGGCCTGGCGGGGCCATCGTAAAAAGGACGAGAGCCAATCTGAAATTTGGCGCGAGCTCCCGCTGCAAACATCCCACGAAAACTGGACCGTCAAAATCCAGCACACGCTCGTCAAAAAACGTCGGCGAACCCGAATTCCGGCTTACTTGAGTCTAACTTTCCCCGATACAAACCTGCTAGTTGTCGGTGTGTTTCACCTGTCACCTGCATCTGAGCAGCCAGAAACTCCCAGCGTGGACCCCAAACAGCAAGTCTGGCAGTGTGGACGTGCTGGCAATGTGATGCGCAAGCGCCTCTGCGGCCGCTTTTCGAAGCGCAAGTGCGTACCCTCGGGACACCCCGCAGGCGGCATCGGCTGGCAACGGGCGGCCACGGGCGAACAGTGCGAACTCTCGGGACATCCCCCCAGGCGGCAGCGGGCGGCACCGGGGCCGAGCGCGCCGAATCCTCGGGACACCTCCACAGGCGGCAACGGGCGGCAGCTGCCCGGGACGCGTCGAATCTTCGGGGCACGCCCACAGGCGGCAACGGCCGGCAACGGCGCCGTCAACAAGCTGGAACGTGGCGGATCCTCGGGACGCAGTAAAAACCCCCAGGTGGAAGAAGTGTTTGGGGAACTACCATCAAGCAGACAAGACTCTGGCGTATGTAGCTCGCCTCTGGAAACGCAACCGAACAGGTGGACGGGGGGGGGGCTCCGTAGCAAAAGGGCCTGCCTGTCGATAAGTACTGAGCCAACGATGCCAATGACGGTTTCAACATCGAACCGGTACGTTGCCGAATGGGTCTGTAGACAGGGCGGCAACAGCGAGCCGCCTGCCGAAGCCTGGCTCGGCAACCTCGACTCTGTGCTGATCTCTTTCCCTCGTGCGCCTCCTCAGGCCTCTGACTGTGCCCAGTGCGCCTGCATCAACATGCGCTTGAAGTTTGCCCGGTCGATCACCCACACGACGGACTTGGCCTTCGCCTTCACCGTCGCAGCGCGGGGCGCGTTGTACATCAGCGCTAGCCTTGGCGAGGCGCTGAACGCAGAGTCGCTTTACAGACAGCAGGTCTTTCCTGTCACAAGCGTGGGCAATGTGGAAGGTTCTGCTCCATTGGGGCTTCCCTGGTGCGCAACCTAACGCTCGCCACTACCTCCCGCTCCAAGCGATACTGGCGTCTCCGAGCTTTAAATCGCGAGCCGCAATCGGAGTCCAGAATGTCGAGTTGCTGATTTCGCCTGGTGCATCCTCCAAGGACGCCCTGGAGCCAGTGCCGCTAAGAGTCGCGCACCTTGCAGAACCAGTAATGCACTCAGAGTTGAGGCGAGTGAGCCAATGAACAACACGATACGCCACCTCTCGACCTAGCTATCTGGCCGAGGGCGCGGCTGAAGCGGGCACTACGCGACAAAGAGCATCATGATCGTGATGCACCACCACGCAAGGAAAAGGTGGAGTGCGCACTCGTGGTTCGTTAACGACCGAAGTCATCTCTGAGTGTACGGCAGGTTCGCGTCGCGATGATGTGGGCACTGCTTTCTCATACCACGGGGATCGTTCATCATGGAACGATGGCGGCCTTCCGATGGCACTGGTCGACTGTCCGATGTCGGCCGGATCCGGGCCATCGGCGGCGTTCAACCTGGAACGCCCGCGCTGGGGTCGCCGCCGCGACGAAGCGGCACCAACTTACCTAGCGCAATGCTCGCGGCGCCAAGCCGTCGAAACGTACCGTCTGAGGCAATCCTGTAGCCAGGAACTTCTGCTTAGCGTGCCGCGGCGGCGGCCACGGCGACACGCTGTGCCTTGCAAGCGTGTGGCGCGTCGCTCCGCTCCGCGGTACGAGAGGCTGGGGAAGGCTCGGGACGCTGACGCTTGGGGACGGGGACGTGGTGAGCGTGCCACGCCGAAGCGTGGTGGGCCAGAACCAGCGCCGCCGCACGCTAAGCGAAAACTCCTGACCAGAAACAGTCCGACATCTCAAGGGCTGCTCGTGCGGCATCCACTGAGGGAGGGGCAAGAAGAACGGAACAGACCAGATGTCCGCGACAAAGCATGCTCCACAGCCAGACGGACGACGAAACTATCGTCAGCAAGTGCTGGGTCTATGTCGCTCGCCTCGGAGAACAGGAGCCTCCCCGCGACCCCGCCGAAGGACACATTTTGGCTAACGGTGGAACGGGAGGAGGAGGAGAAGGAGGCTCTGGAGACGATGGATGACGACAAAAGAGTGCCGAGAACGATGCACCAAACCAAAACGATAATCATAATGTCATAATGACGAGGAGAGGCGACCGCTACCGATCGCCTCGAGCGAAGATGGGCACCGGCTTCTTGAGCCCATGCCCCACCTTATCACCTGACGGGCCCCGCCCCTGGATGAGGTACCTGCGCTTGAAATGCCTCGCAGACCCCAGGGCTGGACTCCCAATACAAGGTTTAATATCAAAAAAGCCCTTGAAACACACCTAGCTGCACATTCGAGACACCAAACCATGGGACCAGTCCGCCAGAGCTTGTGGGACGGGTGCGCTTCACGAACCCCCTTGGGGCCCCCAAGGCACGGAACGAAAGCCAGGTCCCGACGACGAGCTCGGCTATCTCCGCACAGCCCGCACACCCACCGTCCCGGGAAACGCTGAATTAAGTGGCTCCCGTCCTCACTCAGGACAAGACTAGGGCCACGCACAGGCCTTCCCTCATTCACTTACTGAGCATCCTTCCAGCCCCCTTTTTGACACAGTCTGGGGATGCGAAGCACGCGCCTCAGCGTCAGCGGAACGGCCGCCTCCCCGAGTTCTCGCAGCTTCTGTTGTGGCCGCTGACGGGGGTGGCAGTCGGCGTCCAGCATCGCGTATTTGTCGGCAGCACAATTTCCCGTACAATTGGAGATAGCCGCGCCGCGGTTGATGGCTTGCGTCTTCGGCATGTGCGAGGGAATCCAGACCGCGCCAATCTCCGAGATGCCAATGCCGTGCGCGACGTCTCAGGACACTGTCCACACTCCATGTACTGGTGCTTGGAGCTGCAACCGTATGGGTAACTTTCCAACCATGCCTGCTTCAGATCTTTGTAGTCCGTCACGAAAGTGGTGCGCCCTTCGGGCTTGTGCTTCAGCGCTTTGATCGCGGCCCAGATCTCACCAGCACCTGAGGGCACAGGTCCCAACGCAGCAGCAACGCAGCAGCCGTATCTCCCGCATCATTGATCATCACGAAAGACCAACCAATCCGAATACGAACTTCGCAGCGCGGAATAATACAGCTGCCATCCGTACACATCACCCCACTGCTTAATCCACTGAACGTGCACACATGTCAGTTGAGGAGGTACTTCGTGGTCGGCATGGGCGAGTCGAATGTAGGATCGGGCATCAGCCCCTTGCGCGTGTAAATGGTGATGGGATGCTCTTGTCAGTGCTCGCGCCTGCCCCACAACGACCGTCTTCGCCCCTCTGCCGCCCAGCTTTGCATCTCGGCTGCGTGCCCGTCGCGCCTGAAACTCAGATGGAAGTCAGCGCCATTTTCAACGCCGCGCATCGCGCCTGTCGGGCTCTCCACTGCCCTAGGATTGTACAGCTGCGCCTGGCGGAAGCAAAAGCACCAGATAACCAAGTTCTGGCCAGCCCGGCACCTCTGAAGCCATCTTGCCGATACAGAGCACTGATGTGGTCTTTGGCAGGCTGCCATAAGGGTGGGCCCACGAGGCCCTCCATGCCACGACTCCTGGGCTTCTCGACCAAAAGACGCCTCCGGGTAGCTTGATTGACAATCCTCTTGAGCGCAGGCAGTCCCCACCCATGCGAGTCCAGCGCCGCTCCCCGTTAAGTAATCCAGCGGTCCGAAGAAACAGTATGCCACCCCGGCCTTTTCAAGCTCGTGATGACCGCGCCTGCTGGCCCTTGAACTCCGCGCCAGGAATGGATCGGGTTGTGCCCGCTCATGAACGCCAACGCCGTCGCTTTGTGCCGTGCCAATTTCCCAGAGCCCGCAGCCAATGCACAAGAGGGTACTCGTCCGCGACAAAGGTGGGGTCAGCTCTTGGGCAGTGTGGAAGTTGAGACTCGATTGCGCGGTATCTCCCTCTGGCAGCGCCGAACGGCGCATGTCCGGCAATGGCCCTCACCTGTTTGAGCTGTGTGTCCGTAATACTTTTCCACTTTGACTGTGTAGGGAGCCGAAGCAAGGCCACTATGCGAAATAATCGACCCAACTGTCTTCCACCTAGTACCAGCCGGCAATATGTAGCAATCCTCTTGGATGTCGCCCTGATGCGCGCTCGCTGCGCTGGTCCTGTCGCGCCGCGTCTCATAGAGCGGTCATGTCCCAACTGCCGTGCTGCTCTGTGCCGTCTGAAATGGTACTTCTTGAGCGCAATGGCAATCTCTCTTTGTAGCTGGGGCGACGCTGCAATCGCGTGTCCTTTGTTTGGGCTGGGCCCCAGCGCATGGTCCACGAGCTCTTTGCGCAACCGCCTGGCAGCCAGGATGATCGTTCTCAGAACCTGCTCGTGGGAACCTGATGCTTGTGGGCTGCCGTCGTTAACCATCTGTGTTATGCTGAGGGGCGGCCATAGCGCGTGCGCGCGCTTGTGCGCGCCAGGCGCGAACGGCGTCATCATCGTCGTGGCGAAGGGACACCCAGCAATGACGCCACTGTTCGTTATGACGAAGTCAGATACCGAATCGCCGGGTATCACTGTCCTTCTGCCCGCATCAGGCGTGATAACCAAGGCGAGCCTCGAACGCATGCAGCCATGCCTGAACCCAACTTCCCACAGCTTCGCATGCGGAATCCTCGCAAAATCCTTCTCGGGGTCTAGCATTGCCATGGCCGCGTGCCTCTTGAGCGCCAAACCTGCTTCGGCCAGAACGGATTGTGTCCAAGCCGCCTGCTCAGAGCTCCTTCCCGCTGTCGCGTAGTGGTAACTCTTGACGTGTGCTCCGAGCCACTCGTCCTGGCCCCGCTTGAAGCACTTGTTGTATGCCCTCGAGGCGTCGGTGAGCAGCCCTATGTGACGATGGCCACCTTCTGGCTTAGGTAACCTTGGCATGATGGTGGTGGTTATCTGCGGCGACAGCTCACCTATAGCTTCCGCAACCTTCGTGATGTTCGCGAAGACCTCCAGCGAACCATCTGACAGTCACGCCATATTCTGTGGCCCGAGGTTGTCTACCCCCACAGCCGTACCACGCTTGAAACTGCTGGCTGCTTTCCTGATGTGTCCCGCATCCAGCACCTGCACCTCCGCCAACGTCATCCGCAAGCGTAGCCCCGTACCAAAACTCTCTTCTCCATCGCGTACTCCGCATGTCTTCTTCCGTTCCTCCACGTCAGGGTTCAGCTTCGAAGCGTGATGTTGTATCTCAAGCGTAGGATGAGTACCCGCTTGTTGCTTAGATGTAGGTAGCTTCGACCATCTGTGTGCTGTCTTGTCGCCACTCTCGGAGGCCTCAGCGACTAGCTTCCTCCACTGTCGCGCGCGACTCTTAGCAAACCCTTGCCCAATTCTGGCGGCTTCCATCTCGGCTCTTCAACTTGCGTCTCTAAGCCAGTCTTCTTCCCGTGCAAACACAAGCGTATATGCAGCACCAGATGTCCCACTGCTGCCCCATGTCGACCTTCTTGTTCTTCATATTCCTCATGGTGTTGCACTTGTCCCCTGCGAGTTTGCCTGGATGTCGCATCCGCAACTGCAAGCTTAGACTTAGTCCACGAGCACCGGGTGAGGTATGACAGCGCGCAACTGCGATACTGATTGCAAAGGGTCGGGTCGCCCATCGCCTGTCGAGCTGCTGCGGTGTCTGACCGGTCATCGCTATGGCCCATCTTGCGGGCCGCCCTGGTCAGCATCGCCGCCCAGGCGGTCTCGAGATGATGCTTCACTAGGGCGGGCGGCCTGATCGGGGAGGACAGGGTACTACATTCTGACATCTCGAGCTCCCGCGGGTTCCGCAGGGTCCATGAGATGCGCTGGAGGCAGATGAGGGCGGCCCGTGGAGGCCCGCGGCATTGGCTCCATGCTTT